AAATACACTACTGAGGGGAGCAGTGGGCGAGACAGGAGAGCTCTGCTGTGCCATGTGGGTAGCTCCCTGGCGTGCTGGGGATCAAACTTGTCCTGCAGGGCTTGTAAACAGCTTCACAGTGCTGTACTTAACCCCTTGTGCCACCAGGGAGGTCCAAAAACACTTGAAATTAACCACAAAAAGCAATACATGCCATAATGTCTGGAACACTATAAGAATTTAAGACTAAACATCTAAGATTAAATGACTGCAAGCCTGCTACTTCAGGCCACTGGTGGAAAACAGTACTGACTTGCTTTTTCTCTGGCATAAGCTTGTAGATCACAGGAAACGAACTGCTGAACTTTAAGTACAAATAGGATGAGTTAAACAACAACAGACTCCTGCAAGTTAATCAGAAGAGTTGATCATAGAAATTATGGAGTCCTTGTGAACTGAGAATCAACATAAGGCTGTGCTGGTAGCATAATTAGCCTGGTAAGTGTTTAAATGTAATGAAGCAGCAAGAGCAAGTATAGAGCTCCCAGATTTAAGAATGTGGGCTGTGTTATCACTCCTACTGAGCAGGGAAAAAAGGCATGTCCAATGATTTGGTCCGTGGATGGTAAGAACTGTGTTAACTCAATTTATCTGTTGTCCTTAAATGTCTGCTAAATGAGTATAAAAGGAGAGGAAAGGGATGACTCAAAAATTTTGAAGAATAGGTAACATGACAAATGATGGTGGAAAACAAAAGGCTCCTGACTTCCTGATTTCATTTCAGAGGCAGAATTTTTTGGAACTCCGAATTTTTACTAGCTTGAGGGGAGACACAATGTACGAGTTATGGCCTCCAGTTCTTGTGATTTCAAGACTACAGAGAATCCTAAGATCAGATGGTGTGTGTATCTTGCAGACATGACAACCAGGTTGGTGCTACAGAAATAAATAATATAGAACAGAACACAATATATAATCAAGACAACCTAAAACCATAATCCATTATAAAAATACATTCGCCCCCTTTATCATGAATTTCCTCAATTTTGCTACAACTAATTTACTAGCAATAGGGTTTCTTATCTGTGACCCTAGATGGAGGAAACGCATGATTCCATTTAAATAATCTATTTCCCCAGTCTCTAGGTGCTAAATCCTCTCAAAAAGTTTCTCCTTGACCAAAAGTGAGATATGTGATAAGACTTGAACAGAGCAACTATCCAGTGGAATTCATCTCTTTCAAAAAGGCAAATAAAGCGACTGCTTTAAGAGATACGGGTTCCTTTTGGGGTCAGTCAAATGTTTTGGAAGCAGGTTGAGACGACGACTGCACAATATTGTTACTGCACTAAAAGCCACTGAATGTACTGAAAATCACTGTAAAATGGTTACTGGCGTGCGATATATCTTTCAGGCATAAAAACTCTGTCGAGGATGCAGCGTGCGAGGTAAACTCTTAAAAGCACTGTACCAGCCGACTGATCCAGGTGCCCTTGGCGTGGGCCCGACCTTTCGCCCAGAAAAGGCTGGGAAATCTTTCCCCTTCTTTGTCCTTTTAAGAGCGACCAAGCCGAGGCCGCAGGAGACAGTGTTTGTTTGGAAACGCCAGCGCCACCCGGAAGTGAGCAGCAGCGCGGCGGCCGCAGCCCCAGCCTCGGGGCGCGCGGGGTCCCCGCCGCGCTCACGGGCACGCACTCTCGGGCAGGCGGCGAGCTTCGCCCTCCCTAACCCCCTCAGGGGCAGGACTCCCGGCGCTCGCCCGGATTCCCCAGCAGCAGGAGGCTACCTCACGCCGCCCGAGCACCGCAGGTGTGCGGGGAGGCCCCCTAAAGCAGCCCCGGCCGCCCAGAGCCCCAGCGCACTCCCCCTAAACCCCCGACGCTCGGCAGCGCGCGGCCTGCTGGGAAATGTAGTCCCGGGGAGCTCGGCCTGCGGGAACGCGTAGTCCCAAGGCGCGAGGCACCCGCGGAGCGCCGCTTTGCCTTCCCGGCCGCGGCGGAGGGGTGGAAAGCCCGGGCCCCACCGCTTGGCCGCGCGGCGCTCGGCCTCCGTGACCTCCCGGCGCGGGGCGGAGGTGAATCAACGTCACGGGCCCGGCCGCGCGCCCTGACCACTCACCAGCGTGAGGGCAGCCCGGGTGGGCTGCAGCTTCCTCTTACTCACTGCCCGGACAGTGGCCCGGACGAGCGAAGCCGACATCCTCGCCGTCCCAGAGCCCCGGGGCCTCAGGCCGGAGCTCGGCCGCTTGAGCCTCTCTCCATGGACACGGCGAGCGCTTTGACGCCACAAGCTCCGGCGCACAGCGCCCAAGGCTCCGCCCCGCAGGGCCCGCCCCGCCCCCGCCATTGGGCGGGCCGCTTGAGTGACGGGCAGAGGGTGGGGCGGGGCGGCCCCCGGCCACCCCCCGAGGCGCGGGCCGTGACGCGCGGCTGAGGAGGAGGATCGTTGCGGAATGACGGTATCCCAGCAAATGACCTTCGGCTGGTGGACTCTGGAGGCCCGAAGCTCCAGGCGCTGCCCACGGGGCGGGGTGCGGCGTCACGGTCCAAGAACACACCCGCTACCCGCGCGGGGCCGGGCTGCCACGGCCGAAGGGTTGCGAAGCCCGTTGGCGTCACACGTTACGCTGCCGTTGGGGCCCACCACGCAGTTCTTACAGCGCAGTTACCCGCAGAGTCGTCTATAATAAAGTAACCCCCAGCCCTCAAGATGCTTGTGAGCTTGAAGGACGGTGCTAATGTAATTTGTCCTTATAACCCAACCCTAGCGTGAAAGCAGCTCTGTGAATACATTTATAGTGCGTTAGCCATTAATAAACTTGATTGAACATCTGTTGTCAAATTGTTAGGGGGAAAGGATGTCCTGAGCTAATTTCATGCAGGCTTTGTGGACTTCACCCCCACTCCAGACTAAAGCCATCAGGACATTGGGAAAGACAAATCCCATCACCACCAAAGGGAAGGTGGCTGGGACCTGAGGGTGGAGTTGGGCAGCCAGGTTGGATATAAAAACCAAACACGTGGGCCTTGGGGTCTCTCGCTCTGTCGCTTGCCTCCTGGCTTCATGGTTCCTGGCTTGTGGCCAGCTCTCAGAGCGCCATTTGGGATTCCAGGTCAGCGAATAGGGTAGGACGCATTTAAAACTTTGTCTCCCACTTTTCTCCCTGAATTGTACATTTCTTCATTTGCCCTTCCCTTGTAAATAAACCTTTTATTAACCTTTCCTGTGTGCCTGCAGTAGAGTATTGATAAGCCCTTTTAAGCGCGCAGGTGAGGACCCACAGTCAGGAAACCGGGTTTTGATAGGGGCTGCCCTGTAACAAGATGTTGCTTTGAGTGCTCGGGAGCTTAACCCAGCCTTTTAGTTCAGCAAATATTCCTGAGGCCCAAGGTCTCTACTTGGGCATACAGAGGACACCTGGGAATGGAGGGCCCAGTATGGACAGACCCTGGTAGAAGTTATCAGGGTTATCAGATGGTAAAACATCAAGGGTAGGCAACATTGCTCCTGGAAACAGAGGCAAGGAGAAAACAGGAAAAGGATTCTGTGACGTGGTGCCGGGTAGGAGTCTTGCCCAGTGTTTTGATGTGTAAAGAACTTATCAATGGAAGTGTTCCAGTCTAGTTTTGGTTGATAATTCATAATTCCCTTAAGTTCTGGCTCCCTACTACTGAGATGCAGTGGTAATGACAATGAGCATGGCTACCTGCACATGAAGAAACCGTTAGACCCAGTGATGTGGTGGGTTTGCCTCCTGGCTTTATCTTGACTAGCTGGGACAGTTGAAATAAGGTATTTTGGTTCTCTTGCCCTTCATCCTACAGATATTGTGAGGTTTAAGAGGATGGCACATGGCAGCACTCAATACTTAATTGTTAATGGTAAAGATGTCAGATACATCAACTACTTTGTATGATACAAAGGTGGATACATATCATTATACATTTGTCTAAATCAGTGGAATGCAGCACACTGAGAATGAATCCTAATGTAAATAATGCACTTTGGGTGCTGTGTCCTGGTTACTGATATTTTAACAAATGCCCCACTAGGAGCACAGGTGGACAGAGCTTGGTACGCAGAGATAAGGGTATTTAAGAATTCTACTTCATACTTAACTCTGTTGTGAACCTAAAACTTTCTCAACAATAAAGCTTTTAAAATAAAAACAAAGAGACACCATTATTTTAACCAATTATTGAAGTGTTACGGTTTTGGAGCTCTATAGGTTTCAAAAACACCTTGAGCATATTATCTCGCAGATTGAGCTGAACAGGGAAGGGCAGAAGCACTGGCACATCTATTTATTGAGAACCTTAAACTCAAGCCTTCTAGTGCAGTGCTTTAGATGATTAAAAATACCAACCCAGAAGTCCTAAATTTTCCTAGATTTTCTAATTCTGGATCCATGTATGTTTAACGGCTTTCTATTCTCATTTTAATATGCACTACATTTAAAACTGTTTTAAACTCCGTTATAAACTTGGTCCACTGTTTTGCATGTAAGTGCTAAGTCACATAATATACTTGCCAGTGGAGTGGGTATTCTTAATGCTATTTGTAACTGGCACAGGTCTCTTGACAGTTTTCATGACTCTATATGAAATATGTGAGCACCTTTATCTCCGAGAAGCAGCTGTACTGTGGTTGTGAAGTAAGGAGGGTGGGGGAATGGTTGAAGGAATTTGCAAGTTGTAACCACTTTGAGGTTTCCACTAATAACAGGTTAAGAATCCACCATATGAAAACGTTGAACACTGAACTTCAGATTTAGTTTCAGGGTTCTAGACATTTAAAGAAGTGTCTTCCTTGTAAGCCTTCACTTGATCTGCGATAAAACTAAAGCTATCCTTGGTACTCTGCTGGAACATTAATAGAGACACACGCTAATTAAGTCTAGAATTCCACTCAGTGAAACGCATATTACTTGACTGCTGCTGTCAAACATACTTAAAAAAAAAAAAAAAAAAGAGAATACCAACCACATCTTTAGTTTTATGGAAGTTTGTTTTCGACTTTTTTTTTTTTTGCCTGCACCACTCTTAAACCCTATTGACCTGTCTATTCAGGATTTTTCCTCTCAGAAAAACTTTAATAGATCATGTCACATTTCAAGATGAAAAATAAATGGGAATTGTCTCAGAACATTTTAATAACATCTAAGTGTGTATCTTGCTGATACTGCATACACTGAGCAAGAAATTTATAGCATTGGGGCTATAAAGATGAATTTCATATTTTTGTTTGTTCCTGAGAGAAAGAGGAACGGAGAACCCTTATAGTAGGGCATTTGCGAAGTCTGTTAGGAGAGACAGGCCAGCTGCAATTGAAAGATAGCTGCGCCCTGGGAACTGCAATCAGCCTGGAGCAGATACATCGTCCCCTAGTTGGGATGCTCAGAAGAGGCTGTCACCAACATCCAAGTAAAGGAAGTGAAGAAACAAGAACATTCTGTTCTCCAGGTCTGTGGCCAATAATGGTCGCTGCCCCGACCCAAATTATCCAGTGTGTGGAATGGAAAGCAAAAAGACTGATACAGATAGTAGAATCCACTACAGGAAACAATAAATAATAGGAAACTTTAGCGGTACAAGAAAACATGGTTTCGATGGAAAGGAAGAGGACAAGAATGATGTGTGAGAAAAGTTAAAGAAAAATGGAAGTACAATGACAAAATTCATGTTAGAAACAGCAAAATGACACTAAAAATCAAGGCAGTAATGTAGAGAGTAAAGGTGCTAAGTTTTCTTAGCGTGCAGAAGAGAGAGGAATACTGGGAAAAAACAAAAGTAGTTTTGAGAAAAAATGAGATCATAGATGTCATTTTTCAATTTGAAAAAGGAGAAAGATATATGAGATTCACACTTGTTTCAGACAAGTCACTAATACAAGAATGTTAGGGATAAATTAACATAGAAGCATCCGAGCAGGAAAAAATTCAACTACAAGGGAACAATAATTAGGCCAGCCTCAGACTTCTACTACAGTCATACCAGCCAATGACAGAACAGCATCAATGATCTTTCAAAAAAATGTGAAGGAATTTTATGCCCCGTCAAGTTGACTTCATGCACAAAGGCAAAAGAAGAAATGAGAAGAAAAGCAGCTAAGGAAAGTCAGGTAGGGGAATTCCAACCCAGGTTGTATAATTCATGAGTCTGTGTTCCAAATGGATAAGGAATGACCACTAATTCTAACACAACTCCCTATTCCTAAAGTTAATTTTGATAAGATTTTTCTTTAGCAGGAATGACTTCAAGTAACTTGTTTCAGAGAAGGGCCCTCTCCTACCAGCAAGCTCCCTATTTATCCCTCCCTGTGTGCTCACCCCAAGTCTGTGCCTCCTCTTATCCGCACATTCCCAGAGCTCCAGGGCTTGGAACACAGCAGGTATGAGGGAGCACCAGTGATCCCATTAATGCATAAAAGGAATAGGAGTTAAAGAGGAGCAGATCGTCCTGTCTTTACTCCTTGATCTAGTTTACTCATGAAATTCAGAATTCACTAGAAAATAATGTGGATAAAATTACAGGTTGTAATTTTGATTTTATTTCAAATGATAAATTGAGGCATAGTTCTGATCCTGTACTACTTCTGAAGGGCTTGTAAAGTTATAGAAATAATTCCATAAGGGCTCCAGTCAGACCGGAAATGACTCCAACCAAAACCTGTGATTGGCTGAGATCACCTGTTCAGGGATTTTTAAAAGTTCTCCACCCTAACTTCTGAGTATTGTAAAGAGTAAAAAGCACTTTTGTCATTTTTCCTTTGAAAGTATTTTAGCAGCAAACAGGACTACTTGTTTTCCTTTTATATCATTTTTATGAACATAGTACTTGTAAGTCAATTTAATTAAAATTAGAGAGGGAAAAAACCAACAGCCCCTCTGTGGCACTGTTAACTCAGAGAAGGCGGGCATAAACAGGTACTCATGTTCATATTATCACTTCTACAAATATTGACAAAACGAAGTTTGTAAATTGTAAATAACAGTAGTATTGGTCACATATTTGATATGTTGTCATACAAGGGTTCGGTAAACAATAATAAATATAATTTCCCTCTTTGGAACAAAATAGGGATTTATAGGGAAAAATGGGTTGATTTACTTAGGGTTTATTAGCACACCATTTTTAGTGTGCTTTGAAAGCATTAAAAAACCATGAAATTGTATTCACTGAATACTGGCCCATAGTTTCATTTTTAAAAAACCCGTCTTACATACATACCTCATGGTTTTAAATCAACAGGGATTTCTGGTAGGTAAGACTATATTAATTTTTTTCCCTCATTAACAATTTCATTAAGATAAAAAATCTTCCCTTAAATTGAACTTGAAGCCTGATCTATGCTGCTGTGTCCTATGAAATGAACCTAATTTTCAAAGTGAAAAGGAATGACTGAGTGGCCATTTAGAGTGCTGCCATTTTCCTTCCCTCATGATTCCTGCTGGGTCCTCTTCGTTGAGGCTTTTCCCTGAGTCATATATTTACTGGAAAGGCTACCTAGAGGAGGGGAAAAAACAAAACCCAACATAAATAAAACAAGACTCACTTTGGCACAAAAGTCATAAAATTACTTCTCACTGTTCATTACCCACAGAAACTTTTCACACTGGCATTGGTCACTTATTTTAAATATAAGTATATATGGAATATGATCTATTAAACATTAGCTTAGTCACAATTTTCAAATTCAGGTAAGTTGTTAGAGTGACATCATTTGAATACATTGGAGTGTTCATTATTGCCTCCTTGGTGCAGGCCAGGTGAACTTTTCAAAGACCCTCCTTTGCATAGCAGTGTCTTCCTTTGCAATCAAACAGAATTGCAAAGATTATTTGATCAGAAATGAATATCCCATATCATTATTCTGCACACATGAAGTAGCGAATGGTATCACAATAAAAGGAAATTTATTATATTTATATGGAAAGCAAAGGAATGAAGATTATTAATTAAAATCATACCACATAAAGAGTTAATAAAGTCCGATCTGGAGTCAAAACAAATATACCAACAAAACAAGAAAAGTCGAGAAATTCTTAAATGATTATGTGTAAGAAAGTAGTTTATAATAAAGGCTGCATTTCAAACCAATGGGGGAAGTATGGATATGATACTAACATGAAAAAAATTCAGTTTACAAAACCACAATATTATTCTCATAAAAATAAACAAATGAAAATTCCATCAATCATGTATTTGATGCCTCAGTTTATTTATCTGTAAAATGAAGTCAATATCTAGTCTCTTGGAGTTAAAGATTATATGTAAAGCAACTGAACTAATAACCAGGCATATAGAAAGTACTCAAAAATACTAACTTATTATTAAATTAGTGTAAAAAGATAGGAAGACTTTACCTCCAAAGTCTACTGAATAGTTAATGGCTTAGGATGGAGGCAGTATAAATGGCTTTATTTTCATTTTAACTATATGCCAAACTTTTTATAACAAATGCATCAAGTATACAAATAAAAACTATGCTACCCAAGAACATCTTTTCAAAACATAGCATCTAAATAATCCATTCACAGTGAAAAACAGTATCAGCAAGAAAAAAGCATTCTGTCATAGTTATACCATAGAGTATCTATTAGTCTATAGCAATGCAGCTTTGCTATTCCAAACTACAAAGGATAGACTTTTCACTGGAGGGAAAAAAGTTTAGATCATGGGCCTCCCTCCTGGTACAGTGCTATTAAGCTATGACCAGCCACTACAGCATGAGTTTGATCCCTGGCCAGGGAGCTAACCCATGTGAATCAACAGACCTCTTTTGTCTCACCCGCTGCTCCCCTCAGCAGTGTATTTCAACAGATCTGCCTGTTCTGCTCCCCAATCTGTCTCTGGTGAATCCTCTCACTCACTGCCCCCCACCTCTGGCCTATACCCCAGTTCTTCTATGCAAAAATAAATAAATCTTTAAAAAAAGTTTAGATCACTGTCATATTCAACCCAAAGAACTAAGAAAAAATAGTTTTAAAGCTATTAAAAGAAAATATAAATGGATATCTTTATGACCTCAAGTTAGGGAAGAATTCTTAAAGATGACCCTGCAATCATGAACCACATGACCATAAAACTAAACATGGAAAACCAATCATTTAATTATATCAAGATTTATAAAGTGGCAATGGACACAAGTTGAAAACAATAAATATCAGAGGAAGATATTAGTAATGTATATAGAAATGAAGGATCAACATTCAGAATAAACGAAGAACCCTTAAAAATTAATAAGGAAATGTTACTGCAAAAGGAAAAAGGATAAATGCTTGAACAGGAAATTCATAGAATAACTGAAACTGACCAAGTTATTCACAGAATAACTCAAACTGACCAAAAAACATAAGAAGGTACTCAGACTCACCAGAATCAAGAAAACATACACCAGAACACCAAAGTATTTTCACCTATCAAATTTGAAAAATAAACACTGATGATAGGAGTTGGCAACTGTTTCAACCAATAAGGGGTGTAGTTTGACAGTATTTAACTAAACTGAGCACATACATGTGTGACTTCTAGGTCTAAAAACCCTATATATTCTCTACACATACTCAAGACTCACAGGAAATGTTCATTACAGCACTGTACAACAGGACAAAAAATCAAATGCAATTGACATGTTCAGGTATTCGATAATAGATGCATAAAATGTTCAATATTTATATGATTGAATACTAAAGGCTAAATCTCTATACAATGTAAATGCATTTCAAAATCATTTTTTAAACAGATAGGAAAAGGCAGACTGTAAATATCCTATTATACAATATGGTATGTATGTCATTCAAACTTAAAAATTCACCAAGGATGCATGTTAAAAGTACATATGTTAAGAGTTTAAAAATGAACCAACAGTGAAAGCAAATATAAGTAGATTAAAAGGACATCGTACTGAACATGAGAAAATATTTAAGCATTATTACAAGCAACAAAGTTAATATCCAAGATATATAAAGCATTTAAATACAATTTTTAAAAAAGATTTATTTATTTATGCATACAAGAACTGGAGTATAGGCCAGAGGTGCTGAGGGGTGAGAGGATTCACCGGAAACAGAGTGGGGAGCAGAACAGACAGATCTACTGAAATGCACTGCTGAAAGCAGCAGAGGTAAACAGGAAAGGTCTGCTGTGCCATGTGGGTCTACTCCCTGAGTGGGGATTGAACTCAGGTAGCAGTGACTGGCTATAGCTTGATAGAGCTAAGACTAACCCCTGTGCCACCAGGAAGGCCCAGCACTTATATAACTTTAACAATAAGGAAAAAAAAAAAAACAAAAACTAAACAACCCAACTAATAAATGGGCAGAAGATCTGAACAGACAATTCACCAAAGACGATATCCAGGTCAATAGAGACATGAAAACTGTTCATCCTCACTTTCAATAATATGGGAAACGCAGTGTGAAAATCACAATGAGCAGCCCTCTCACACCCACGAGAATAGCACATATTAAAGACCTGGAGAGGATGCAGAGAAACTAGAGCCCTTTTACACTGTTGGTGAGAATGTAGACTGTTAACAGCCATTTTGAAGAGTGATCTGGATTGACCTTAAAAATGAAAATACTGTTTGATCCAGCAATCCCACAGTTGGGCATTTATCTAAAGAACACAAAACTGTTAACTCAAAAGAACTATATTCTCTATAATGTTTATTGCACCTTTGCAATAGCTAAGACATGGAAGCAATCTATGTGCTCACTGATAGAGGACTGGATCAAGAAGATGTGGTTATCCACACACAAGGGAATGCTATTCAGCCATAAGAGAGATGAAATGTTGGTGGAGGGCACACAATGATAATAACTCATAAAGCAGGGAGACCCTCTACCCCACTCCAAATATAAGCAATGATGCAAACCAACATTAATCCTCAATTTTAAAAAAAGGATGAAATGTTATTTACATCAAAACAGAAGGATTTTAAGGAAATTACACCTAGTAAAGCAAGTCTGAGTGACAAAGATATTAGTGGATGTTACATAGTGGATGTTTCAACTAAGCAAAATACTTAAAAAAAACTAGTGGGACACTAATCAACAAAAGGAAGTTAAAAGGCAGAGGAAGAGAGAAAGGGTCAAAGGCGTATAAGGAATGGTGACAGGGTAAAAAGAGACAACTAGACGACTGGTAATTCAGAATATATGGGGGGGACCTTGCTGACTGACTTTCACAAGGGGATCTGAGAGCCCCCAGTGTCAATTCTTCAAGAAGTTCCTCCAGCATCCTGCTTAGAGATGGAACCTGGACAACTGTGATTATAGGAATGGAACTCAATGCCGTGGGAGCAGGGGAGCAAGAGAGTTTCGGGCATTAAAACATTCGCTTAATTCCCATTTTCAGGATGGTAACGTGTCATTTAGTATTCCTTGGCCTCAGTGGTAGACATGAGAATGTGCCTCCAGATATCAAATTCAAGGACTCTACCCACCAATCCCACTGGGTCTTGCAAAGGACCTTTGTCCTGTTCTTTTCTCCTAGTTGCCCATGGAGTGCTCCCAGGAGAGACACTGCCAGGCCTCCCTTAGAGCAGAGCCATCCTGGAAGCTTCCCCTCAACCTTCCTCACTCTCTTTCATTGGATCAGTCCTGCATTGCAATCTCCAGGCTTCCTGCCTCGAGGGCCCCTTCTTATTTCTTGCATATAACCATTTCCCTAATAAAATGTTTACAGGTTTAATAACAAAGAACTGGAAAAATACCTTAAGTCATAATAATGGATACCTCTGGAATGGAGGGGGACATCCCAGACAGAATGAGCTATGGATAGTAGTCAAAGGGGCCTTCTACCATCCTGATGTTTTATTTAAAAAGATTGCAAAGGGGATGTGAAAAAAAATACCAATTCTCTAGTAGACAGGAAGCTGTTATGGATTATTTATACCTTTTTTATATTTTCCAAACAATGTTTAAAAACCCCCACTCTTTTGTAAGAATACAGTCATATATTCTATCACTTCAACATGTAACACCCCCATACAAAGTTGTCTATATAAAAATGTCATCATACCTGAAGAAATTTCATGTAAAAATTCACAAAAAAACTAAAAATAAAATATGAACGATTATGTAATCAATAGGAAAAACAAAATTATGTAAGCAAGACTCGAATTTCCCTGAGGTTGTGCAGATCAAACTACTGAAACAAACAAACACTGGTATGGAAAAACAAATCATAACTATGGATAAAAGGATAAAATGGGGTGGTGGTCAAGGATGTTTTTCCATACCAAGGGTATCTGGTAAATGTTTGTCTCTAACAAAAACTAAAATTTTAGTTTTTGTAAAATTACACTGCTACCTGATGATCATCACAAAAATTTCTGATAATAATGTCTTTTGGGGTGACTCAATTAAAAGGGAATGAAAATAACTCAGTGGTATTACTATGCTGCATTTTCCATTCCCAAATTCTTTAAAAGCATGTCCATTATTTTAAATTAGCTATCACAAAGACTACTGAAGTTTCTAAATGTTTAACAACTTTTT